ACTTAGATATTGCCTTGAGAAAATCTTCCCACTTCTATTTTGCATGAATCTCGCGTATAATAGGCACGGTGTGCTCGCGCAGTTCGAGCGCAACTTCGTTGCGCGTGAACTTGGCGCGAGGCACTACCGTGCCTCTTGATTAAAGAATGTGTAGAGAGGGTGAAAGAGGATAAATAAAAAGGAAAGAAGAGAGAATAAATTAGGGAATCTTACTTTTCAATATTCTCTTGTTTTTTTTCTTTTTTTTCTTTTTTTTTATATAGAAAAGGTATAGGATAGGTAGTGTGTGTAAAAAAATGCAGAACAAAAAATAAGTAATAAGAAGTCAAAAGAAGTGATTGAAACGAACGAAAGTTATATAAGTTTTAAAATATTCTAAAATTATGTCGCACGGATTTTAGGTAAATCTCAAATCAAAATTATAATTAAAAATCGAAGTTATAATCAAAAATCAAAGTTATAATATTGATTATTTTGTTAGTACGGGACGGAATTTGCGGTTTTAATTATAATAGTTATATTTGCGTACTTTTTACGCAAACAGTCTCGCAACTTTTGCGAAAATCACTCCGCTTAGCACAGCGAAGTATCTTGCTTCGTTACTTCAACGAAGCATCAGTTCGCAATTTCTTTGCGAAAATTGTTTATCGAAAACGGAACGGATCGAAAAAGCAAAGTTAAAAACATATTGAAAAATTCGATATATTTACACATTTGAAATCTAAATTACAGTTAAGTAAAACGCGATCAATCAAAATTTCTACGTAAAACTTTTCGTACGTGTACTTTATTATCTTTCACAAGATGGATTTTATCAATGATACTTAATAATCACGTATACTCGTATAATCAAAACTAAAAATCGCGCTAATAGTAACGTAAGTTTAAATTAAATAAATATGTTATTCTTTCCCAATATACTTTTCGATAGTTTCTAAAATATTTAACTTTATCGTAAAATTCTCGCGGAAAATCTACTCTTTAATCGAGATCAATAAACAACAAAAAGTGAAAACATGGCAAGTTTCAAATAAAACAATTCGCGAAATCTAAAACCGCGTACACGACCGCGATCGCGTTATTTCCTCGCACTTGCGAGGTCCAGGGCGTCGATTTCGACGCAAGGCGAACTAAACGCAATTGTTCGCAATTTGTTGAAAACGAGAAGTCGTCGAGAAAAAACCGGTATAAAATAATTACATTACGGTATTAAATAATTACAGAAAAGAATCATTACATGAAGCAATTTGAATTGGTTTGAAAAGAGTAGTCAATATATCTCTTTGATAATGATACAAAATATATATCTCATAAATATCTTTATTATTCTTTATTATACTCTAATTTTTATAAGTAAATTTGATTTAAATCTATGATCACAACGAAAACTATATTTTTATCTTTGAAATAATTATTTTTTCTCGACGCTTCGAAATAAACGAGTAAAAACTATGTATCGCACTGATTTTTAAAAAACCCTTCTCCTACCCTAAAAGTTTACTCACGTGCGCTGGCCACTTACTGCGAGGACACCACTCTGTAACAAAATAGAAATCTATCATTAGATTAAGAACTTCGAAAAAAATTGGATGTACTTTAATACTTTTATATGTAAGATATATATTATAATATTAAAACCAGAAATATACCTTTGTGCCAGCATTTTATTGCCCGAACCGGCTCCTCCGGTACTGCAAACACCGCCATCAGGAATACAGCCATCAGGAATACCGCCATCAGCGTCACCAAAAGTCTAGATTGTATCTTCTTTAGCACTTGAACACGCGCGATTAAGTGAATTTCTTTCATATTTTCTTTAAAAGTTGCTTTTGATAATATTAGACGTTAATTCACGATGAAAAATTTCACGTATATCAAACTATTATCTTGCCGTTTCGAGATTTGTTTTTTTTGTAAAATAAAGTATTTTAAATATATAAAGCGATGTATTACGATTACATGTAACTCACATTTTGTTGTTATATGTATGTTATAGCATAATATGTGCAAATATATTTTTTATTCGAATTTTACAGAGAATTTTACAACACAACCACTCTTTAAAATCGAGTCAACACAAGAACTACTGAATATAAAAAAATCTATAAAGTTTATTCACCTCCGAACTCTTCTCAATGACAGTTAAGATNACAATGGTACCGCTTGCACCCAAACTGTCAGAGAAAAGAATTCGAAAATGGATAAGAAGTTATAGATTTACCGCGATTCTCTTAATAAAGAGTATTAACNAAACTCTAATGTGTAAAATATTAATTACCGTATTGTAAAATTCTTCTGAAGATTGAAATAAAAAATATAATTTCCGATATATGTTATATACAATATGTAACAAAAAAATGAATGTCGTTACGTGAATCGATATATCTCTTTATGTATTAGAATAATTATTTTACAAAATAAATAAATGACGAAGCGGAAGACTAATAATTTATATACGCGAAATATTTAATCGCGATATACGCGGTATATTTACGAGAACAAAATTATATAATTAATTCACGAAGAAATTCACTTATGTACGAAATTGCGTACGAACTTGTTATAATGAAAAAGAAAAATTTTAAATCGCGCACAACCCGACAACACGTCTGTTACACTTGAGAGATCGACGAGATCTGAGGCTACGCGCTGCGCTGTGAATAGAGCGCACGCATCCTTCACTGTGCGCAAAAACACTCGCCGGTTGGAAAAACACCTCAGTCGTTGAACATAACATGTTTATTTTTCACATTCTTTCGTATTAAAATTTAACATTTATTACATTTCTTAGTTCTCTTTAAAGGAAGAGAACATTTATTACATTTCTTAGAAAACATTTCTTATTCTCTTCCTTTAAAGAGAATTAAGACATGTAATAAATGTTCTCTTCCTTTTTAATTTTCAAAAAAAATCAAATTCACGCTCTCGAATATACTCACACACTTAAAGAAAGTGACCATTTAAACTCGTGCACATAGCACAGAATAGAACCGCACGCTGTGGACATAGCGCACCGACATGTCGCTCGTGGACTGGCTGCGTAGTTCCAATGTGTACCACTCGTGGACATGCGCTGGATTACGGGGCGGAAAAGTGATTACACATTCTCTTATGGGCCTGGTCGCTCTCAGACATTATATATAACATTAAATACTACATATTATACATATAATTTATTATATATTTATAATATTATTCTTTATATTGTATTATATGTATTATATACATACTACAGTAATGTCACTGACCTCCGCCGCGCGACTTTGGCGCGGTCACTGACCTCGGCCGCGCGGCCTTGGCGCGGTCATTGACCTAAGCCGCGCGGCCTTGGTAGGGAGGAGGTCACTGACCGCGGGCGCGCGGCCTTGGTGGGGGGAGGAGTCACTGACCGCGGTCGCGTGACTGCGGTGAAGTCACTGGCCTCGGCCGCGCGGCCTTGGTGGGGGGGGGGTCATTGACCGCGGGCGCGCGGCCAGCGAGAACCGTCGTCATACATCAACATAATATGGCTGCACTCTTCCACGAGCGCACACGGACAACGGTCTCGTTTGTGTACGTATCCCCACGTGTTCTCATAGCACGGAATAGAACCATGTCCACGAAAAGCTATCGTAGAAATTCTTATAGCCGTGGCCGTTCTCAGGCTTCTCTCTGATGGACGTAGCGCTAGCGAACGGAGGGGAAAAACGATAACAGCTAAACTAAGACCGTGGCCGATCTCAGTCTTCTTTGTATTCACGGGTGCTTCGACCCGTAAGTCTTGGACTAGTGCATTACACGATATAAATTAAATCTGATAGTTCGCAGTGGTTTGTTTGATTTCATCTTATCTCTTAAATGTACTCTTAAAACAATTGCAGACCACCGTCGCATCAATATCTTAGCAGAAATGACGAGAAAAGTTCTATTTATGATATTTCTTGTCGTTTTTTTGATAAATCAAGGTACAGTATATCTTATTTCTATATAAAAAGGGCGTGGCTCGTTTTAGGTGTTAGGTTATTTTGTTTTGACTCATACACTAACTTTGTATGTGAGGTTTCAAAATGTAGTAAATAGTAGTTACTAAATTATTCATGAGTTACATAATGTGAAATACAAAGTTTTTCAATGCTGATAAATTTTGAAACACAAAACTTTTTAACTTGTTCAGAAAACAATGGTTGATTATATAGCCTATAAAGTCTAGATAGCTCTTTTTTTTAAAAATAATTTGAATCTAATTTCAGGTGAGAGTACTTTGTACTGTTATAGATGTATGAGTAACCAACCTGGATGTGGTACACCTTTAAATTGGCTGTGGTATTGGGGAGAAGTGTGTCCAGAATATGATGACAAGTGTGTTAAAATAATCGAACGAAAAGGAGGTAACTTATTAATATTAATAACTACTATTACTTATTAAATTTCTCTTTATTGTATTCTTATATACTATATTTTTATACATAAACAAAATTGTTTGTAATTTTTTTTAGCCGAGACAGTCATCACACGTGAATGCTTAAGTTCCGTCACTAGCTTTAGAACGGATATTCCTGCTGATCATTACGAAGGTTGTAGGCCCGCTGCTAAAGATGTCCGATTAGGTCATTATGTTAACAATAGTATACATCAATTAGATATTCATCGTGATTATTACGATGAAGTTACTTGGTGTTTTTGTTACTTTGATAATAGATGTAACAGTGCAACAAGTATTACTGTTTCAGCATTTATCATTAGTTTAGGAATTGCAATACATAATTTCATATCTTGAGGCTCTTGTACATTTTCAACATATTTCTCTTTAAATTTCTAACTTACATTTATTCTAATATCCCTATGAGCAAAGTGCTAAAAATCTGTAGAGAGATTGCTACAAATTCAGACACAGCGGTGTATAAACAGATGTATGTCAAATAGTGCCATTTTTCACAAATTGGTACTAAATTCTGAGCAGATCTGTTCAATACGAGTAGCAGCATCTTTGCGTTAGACAGATCTGCTCAGAATTTAGTGCCAGTTTGTCAATTGACTTGCAAACTGGTTTTTTTTGTTTTTTTTTTTGTGTTTTAATCTGTGACCGTTTTGATAACAAATGTGTCGCGGACATTTAACGAAATCTGTTCGACATACTTGGCTAACAGGGATATTAAACTCGTACATAAAAAGTAAAATTGGCACATATCGCACTGCCGTCCATTAATTTAGATAAAAAAAAAAACTTATAAGCCGTCCATTAGATAAAAAGAAACCTATAATATAAATATATTAAATACATCCTTGCGTTGTGTATATTATATTTAGTTTTTCCGCACAATATAACATATGTATATTTTTCTTGTGTATTTTGTAATCTCTATTTTTATATTAAAAGAGAGAGAGTGTAAAAATTTTTATATTTTGTATGTAATAAAACAATTCTAAAATAGTTATATATTATGTATCGATTATTATTTTATAACAATAAAAATAATAATAATTATGTATTTTTTTAAAGGAAAAAAAATGTATACTGATATGTTAATAGGATCAAAAGACCGTCAAGCAAAAAAGCGAGAATCGATGCAATACAAATAAAGTTGGAAAGGTGTGTCTCTCCCCGGTGCTATTTTATGTATTTTTGTTTTACATAGCAGCCGTGTAAATGTTACATATTATCTTGGGAGAGCCAATCAAGTAAATACGATATATTAATGTTTTTGATAGAAGAATAACTCATGTAGCAAAAGAGAGTTCCCGTGAAGAGAACAGACTCCTCGCGGAGCTTCTCGTCTCTAGAAACTCGAAATGACAGGGAGCGTACGTAAGACCCGTCGCAGCTAATATCACTTGGTCACGAGTCGAACGAGCCTTTCCTCCAGTCTTTCACGTGCCGAGCGAGCGATCACATACAGCCCACGAGAAACTGAAAGTTCTCTATCCGTCGGCGCGAGTACTCTCGCGTCCTCGTGCCTTTTGTCTTCTTTTCTCGGGGCGAGTCGATTCTCAACGTGACACGGTACGACGCGCGTGCGACGATGCGTCCACGATTATAAATCTCTTTCCGAAATGCCAGCAGGCGGGTTGTAGGTAGTGTTTCCCGACCTACATGTAACCTGCTGAGGACAAGAGAGGATAGAAGTGGAAGTGTGCGGAAGGCGAAGAGGGATAATATGAGGCTCCTCTGCGTGGCAATTGTCATCGCGAGTGCAACATTCCTCTTGACAATAGTCGGTGAGTTTTTTCCGTTTTTGAACAACCGCTCTTTTTTCTTTGTCAAGTTTATACTGAACCAAATATAATAGAAACGTTTTTTTTTTTTTTTTAAGTCAAATCGAGAATATTTTCTTTACTTTGCGACTTTCGATTTTTAGTGACTGATCAAACAGCGGAACGTCTCGCGCGCAACAAACGTTAGATCCAGGATCTATTTCGAAGCAAGGATTTAATTACTTTCTTACTTGATTATGGAAGGATAAACAATTTGTTACACCGTGTGTGTATATTTTTCCGTCCCACTTTGCACAGACTGCGGACTGTCAGATACAGTAACATGAACTGTTTCTGGTGTGGTTAAAAAATATAGCACACACACACACGCGTGTGTAATTTCTCATCACTTATTGACCAAACTCGTCAAAATATCAGATTTCAAAAAAGCAAAATATCCGATTTCAAAAGTTATTGGCAAAAATTGTTTTCTGTAGATCTATCGCATTCGCAGACCTAATATTTGACCTTTTAATAACTCTCTCTTTTTTATCATTTTCTTCGCAAACTCTAGCGTCAATTCGAGCTATTAGATACTGCGTGTCTGTGTCTAACTGAGCGTGACTTATTGTACAGTTCCGAGAGAAACGGAAAGCGCACGAAAGCCGAAGATAAATTTCGCAAAGGTCATAGGTCGCGCCTCTCCTTCTAATTAAACGTGCGTAAACGTGTTGTCCGATTCACAGACACGGGATGCGTTTTTGAACGCGAACTTAATTTGCCTCCGCTCGAGCAAACCGTGCCGATATCCACTCTCCCGTTTAAACTCGTCTTCTTCTTCCGCACTAACCTTTGACTGTTTGCGCAGCATAATTAACGCCGCACCACGAAAAGGAACTTCTTCACAGCTGATTTAGCAGGTTAAACAAAACGACTCTCTATGTAGAAAACTGTTTTAAATACAAGTTTCTATAGGAACGTATTTACTCCCATATAATTTCTCCGTCTGTTTGTACTTCGAGGTTTGTAATTTTGCAACAAACGTCTTGAAATTCCATTACTTGTCAGTAAAAAAAAAAAAATAAAATGTAAGAAGTTGTGTTTACTGTGGGATACGTTTATATATAGTGACAACGCCATTACATAATGCGAATACTCGTATATAATTGACGCGCAGTAAGACTGTCACTTTTTGAAACACGAGTCTGACGAAGCCAGCAACGTTTTTTCGCTTTGCACCAAATTTTACATCATCATGTAACAAATAGATCTCTTAAAAGTCGCGACTAAAAACGTGTGAAACGCAACTCAAAAAATATAAATAAAATATTTCAAATATTCCTTCATCTTCTAATGCGTTTCAATTTACATTTTCTCAACGTGTATACTTTTCTAATTGCACAATAAAGCGCATAACGTGCGCTGTGTATAAAATCGCAATAATCGCACGCGGAAAAATCAGTCAATTGGTTTCGTTTCTCTCGTTTCTTATCCTTCTTAGTTTTGTCAATTTGTTGAGAACAACATTAATCGGACGACGACCGATACGAAAGAACAAAAAGAAGAGTCGCGCGACCAAGAACGAAACACGTCTAAGAAAGAGGAGGTAACACACGGCGGACTTTTCCTGAGAACAATAAACTCTCGTCGAACAACGTCTCAATTACTCGAATATCCCTCTCTGACAACAAATTCGAGAAAATCTCCTTCCCCATTTCGCGAACGTAACACGCGCTTATTTAGAGTTCTCGTGCAATAATTCTACAAGCAAAACTAAAAACGACAATCAAGAACTAGGAAAACTCCCTAGGATTACCCGAACTTTGTACAAAAGGTATTCAAGCAGCAAACTGTGACGAGATTGACGTTATCAATGGAAAGAAGGAATAACCGGTAACGTTTCTTTTGCCATTTGCAGATCCATTCGGTTCGCCGCGTTTGACGACGTAAAACTCGTGCGAAAAAAAAAAAGAAACGACGAGATTCGCCCGGTGATCGATTCGAAAGCCGTTCCACCTCGAGCTATTTACGCGGATAATCTAGATAGAGAAACATTGCTCAAGGATCTCTCATTCTCTCGCAACCTTGTTCCCTTTAAAGAAATGATTAAGTGGATTCATGCCATCTCTTGTGCTCGCGCACGACCGATCGCGGAGAATAATTAATCGGATTTTGCAGAACGCACGAAGCTACGTTCGATCATCGGCTTTTAGTTTCAGTCCAGTTAACGTCCATAAATCTAAAGCAGATTTTTTTTTTGCCTCACAACCGCGCGCAATTTACAATTCTCACTTTGCATCGGTGCGCACGTGTGGAAAAACATCATCCGAATCAGTATCTCATCATTTTTACATGGCGCGTTGCAAACCATAGCGTATGACGACATGCGAGTGAAAGATGGTTTCTCACAATGTGAAGTGAATCAGTCCGATACATTTGCTTCGCGTTTTCTCGAATCCGACAGAGCGACCGACACTCGATCAGCAGTGGCGACCAAGTGTCAAAAACTTTACACGCAAAATCAGACGAAGCTTGTGTGTGTTGGTTTTTTTTTTTTTTTTGCATTTATATACGGTCAAAATTCCGATGAGAATTTTTTTTTTTCCGAATCTCACATCACGCTCGTGAGTTTTCTGACACGTACGAGTTTCCGTATTACGACATCGTTCGACCAGAGAGTTATGTGGAAGTTACTCAGCTGTTTTATAATATATCTTGCTCGTATAACAATCATTTCGCTTCACATAACGCAACGGCGCGAGCTTCGCATAGTGAAAACGTAATGTCTTCCGCTGCGTGAAACGCCGCTGACGATAATGAATAGGTGCATATCGCGCAAGAATAATATATTACTCGGCGCGAATGCGCGCGGTGGTTCACATTCCACGTGTGTATTGTTCGTGCGCGCGAACGACCGTGTCGCGCAAACTACGAGTTAATGGATGAATACAGAATTAAATGTTTGTACACATTATTTTATTTTAACAAATAAAATCACGCGGTTCGAAACGGGAGCGAAGAAAGCGCGCACAGAACGCGCGCACGGCGAGCTGTCCTTCGTAAAAATATCAACTCGGTTCAAAATCTCAAGGTGGACACGATTTACGGAAATGTTAAACACGCGCACAAGCAATAACAAATAAACCGATCAAAGTGTCGCTAACTTGTGACCTTAACATTTGATGTATCTGCTTTTCGTTATTTTATGTATTTTTTCATTGAAACGAAGTTAATTTTAATTGTAAGTTCGTTGTTAAAAAAATCTCGATCGTTTGACTCTTGCAATGTCGTGAGAAAATCAGTGTCGACCCTCGCATCGACCGTTGAAAGTGAATAAAATTCAGTGCAAAAGGTTCGTGACGATGAGATAATCGTAAAGTTTTGTGTTTTATCTCGCATTTCTATATGTGCAAATTAACGGTGCAAGGTGCACGAGCTGTGTCACCGTTTTCTTCAATAAACGTGACACACATTGTCGATGACTTTCGCCGGCGAGAGGATAGAAGATTTTCGCAAATTCGTCAGATGCAGTTCCCAATGGCGAAACAATCAGTATTTTGTATCTTGCACATTTTTATTTACAAAACATCTAGACCTCGGCGTGAGCTGCCGTGTAGCGCAACTGTCTCTTCTTCAACAACAACGCGACACACACAGTGTCGATGACTTTCGCCAGTGAAGGTTACAAGATCCTTGTGAAACTCGCCACTCGGCGCAGATGCCGTCCATGTTCGAATTCTTTTCCGCTCGTTTCGCCTCGGAGTTTCAAAGAGACGTTTTCAACGTTGTTTGTCTCCTCGGCAAAACATGATTGTTCCATGTAATTTATCCCCTTTTTTTTTATTGTTGTTAAAATTAGAAAATTAACTCCTTGTATTTATCTTTTCTTTTAATTTTTTAAATTTAGTTTTGCTTTGTGGATTAGAGAAAATTTTACAGCAACTGAAACCTCGAAGTTTTAAGCTTCGCGGGCAGGAACGCTCATCTCTCTTTTCGCAAACAATTGGTATTAATAATCGTGTCGAACAATTAGGAAACCAGAATTACTCCGTATGTAATAATACTTCACAAAAATTTTACCACATAATAAAATATAACAAAATAAAAACGCGAATCAATTTTTATCCAAGTAATTTGCCGCTAGTTTGTGCGGTGACGATCAATTCAATTTCAACACCGCGGCGGTGACAATAACGCACAGATGCATGATCCGAGCGTTGTATTCAACACATGAATGCAATACCGAGCATATATACATGTAAAGGCGCGTATTAATGACAACGACGGGCGTGCTCGTTCGCTCGCTCGCTCGCTCGCTCGCTCGCGTTGCGTCACGCTTTGGTCGCGAGATCAGGCATGACAATAAAGCCGCCGGGAAATTTGAAGTCGTGAGCAGAGTTATGAATTAAGTTCCCCTCCGGCCTCCCTCCCTTCGTCGCGGTTTACGGCGTGCAGGTGGGAAAAAAGACGGTCGTAGCCTCTTTTACCGCGAGCTCGTGAGAGAGCGTTTTCTATTCTCTTTGCGTTGCGCCGCGCGCGATTCCGAATCTCCGCTGTATGTATATATATATATATATATATATATATATACATTTACGGCAACGCAATCACTCCAAAATCCCAGAGGAGCAATCCCCCGAAGTACTCGCAATTACAAAATTATCGGCGCAACGCGCTGTTTTTTTTTTTTTTTTTTTTTTTTTTTTTAGAAAAAGATCTCCGGTAACAACGAAAAAAGATCGATATGGAAACAACAACGCGTTCCAATTGTATGTATCGTCGAGATAGTTTTTTTTTCCCCGTCGGTAGACTAAAGAGAAATCCATTTCCATTGCAGTTCCATGACACACATTTCACCTTTTCATCCGTCGTCGCGGCGCGAGAGCCAATCTCTGCGAAGCGCGCGTGTCTCTATGACATAAAAATGTATTCGCACAAAATATCTGTGATTTTATGGGCGTCAACCCCAAAAAAGAGAAAGAAAGAGAGAGAGAGAGAGAGAGAGAGAGAGAGACGAATTCGCT